GAAGAATATATATCTATCTATATTAATACTAGCTGTGGAACAACCCTTATAAACACTAACCTTGGTCAATCTCTTAGAACTAAGATATACTCTATAAAGGCGCCCCTCTATATCTCAGGTATTAGATCTAAGTATTATTCTAATATATATATAGTATTTAAAGTATATATTCCTTATTAGCTTTAAGATAATTAGCTAATTTATTTATATAGTCAACTATTCTATACTGTGATTACTATCAAAGTATATTTAATTAAAGATATATATCTAAATCTGTTAATTAGATCTGATACTATCAGCTGTGAAGGTATTATTCTAGATATTAAGAAGTAGATTATTACTATTTATAATTATTAAGATTTTATATTTTCTATTAAAATATAGATTAAATCTAACTATATTAATACTTCTGTTTACTTAATATAAATAGTTACTATTTCTCTATACTCTTATACTAATATACTAGTTAAGATCTATACTAATCTTACTAATACTAATTATATTTTTATACTAAAAGATAATACTACTATATTAATATATATACATCTAGTAGATATATTATTTTTATTTATTAAAGCTATTAATAAGACTTTATTATCTATAATACTTAAATATTATTTCTATCTTAATATCTTAACTAATAATAACTTTATTACTATATATTATATTAAAGATTATATTACTAAGTTAGAATATTTAGTTACTTTTATAGAAGATATAATCTTTCTATATCCTAAGAATAATAAAGTATCTAGTAGATTCTATTATTATTATATCTTAGAGAAAGTAGTTACTTATCTAAATCTAATATAACTTTAATATCTTTAAAATTTATAGATTCTATAATATTATTAATAAAATTAACAGAGACAGTTTACTTCGTAGGTATAAGATCAGAAGAGAATTTATTATAGAAGATAAGATACTTATATAACTTATTATTAGATATAAATAATATATTATAATTATAATATAGAATAGACAGTTTATCTTAAATAATCTAAGAGTAAATATCTTAAGACGAAAAGATAGACTTCTATATAGAAGTAGATATAGAATTATTATTCTTAGTAATATAAGTATTATTAGTATACTTATTATTATTCTTATTATAGTCTTTATAATTTATATCTTTACTAGACTAGTTATAATTATATTCCTTAATATAAGAAGGATCTATATTATAGTTATTATATAGTTTATTTAGTACTTATTAGTGGAGATTTTCAGAATACTAAGTATCTTATAGATAATTATTATATATATAATATATCTTTTCTACAGGTATTAAAGAATTTATAGTAGTAATATATATATACTAGTTCTAAGAATTATTCTTCTAGAACAACTGGGATATTATATTCTGGAATTAATACTAATAACCAGGATTTTCTTATTAATCTTAAGTCTATATATTTCGGTTCTATAGATAATAATTATCTTAGTAATTAGAAGATATATTTACTATAGGCGGTTAGATAGGGGTTTGATTGGTATAGGTATTATAAGGTCTGGACTAGGACTAATTATTCTACTAAGACTGTTATTAAGACTACTATTAGCTCTAGTTCTGGTTCTGATTTATCTATCAGCTTTGGTTTAGATTCTAGTTTTGATGATTCTGGGGCTTCTAGTTGGAATTATCTCTATAATAATTATTCCTAAAATCGCGTCTATTATTAGTATAATTCTAGTTTAGATAGTTCTAGGATTCTTAATATTCTTAACTATAACTATAGGAGTTATGATTTCTATAGAAGATATTATTATACTTATTTTTACCTTTAATAATTTAGATAAGGACTTTTTAATTATACTATTATTTATTAAGCTCTTTAAGAAACTTACTAATTATAGTATTTTATATAGAATATCTTAGTTAGATACAAAGATATAAGTTAAGATAATTCTAAATATAGATTAACTAATTGAATAAATTATCTATATAAGTAGTATAGATATAATAAATTACTTCTTAAGTAAATTAACCAATATATTTTCTAGCTTAGATATTATTTATAGTATAGAACAAGCTACTCAACTTTGTTATTATAGTATATAGACTAGGTTTAAAGTATTTTAATAATTTAGTAAGCTATTTAAGTTCTAGATTAGTACTAGTAATTAGACACTTCTCTTATTTATTAAGACTAGTGGTATACCACGTCAATGCAGTACTATATATACAGGCCTAGAGGTTAAGCTTTATAGTATCTTTACTATAATACTATATAATATTCTTAATATAGTCTATAAAGATATTAATATTCTTATAGTATATATTATAACTAATTTACTTTATAGTATTTTTACCAGCTATATTAGAATAGAAGAAACCAATTCCTTCTAGTATAAGATCTTTGATATATATAGCTTTAGATACAGCTTTATTATTATCTTTAGATAGATAAGATAAATATCTTCAGGATTTATATTTTTAAGAACAACTATATCTTTTGTTAGTAGTGAACTTGTTGATATGATTATCTATTACTTTAAGATATTTAAGAATACTAGCTATGGTATACTCTATATATTCTGTATTAAGATAGTTAGTAGCACTGCTAGAAGATACACTACTAGATTCTACTATAATATCAGAGGCGTCAGCACGTCTAGATTTATATATCCTAACAGGCGGCTCAGGCAAGCGGGGTAATAATTAATATAGTAAGAGGTATAGATATTTAGTCTCTTAATCAAAAGAAACTATACATAGAGGATTACTAGATAAAGTATATATCTTCTAGTATAGTAAATAATAATCTTTGGACTCTTAGTCTTAACCAAATATTAAAGATAGATATTTACTAATTATAGGGAAGACGCCAGATAGGGATATAGTTAATATAGGTATAATATATATATAATAGAGAAGTAAAGAATAAAAGATAGATAAAAGAGAATATATAGACTATATAGTAGTTAGATATATAGATTTAGAAATATAATAAGATATATAAGATATAGTAAAAGTAGTAGAATTAATATCTATTCTTAATAACTTAGAAGTAATAATTCTTAGCTACTTAACTAAGATAATATCTTCTAACTTAATATCTTTAATATTAGTATCTCTAGAGAGTATATCTAATATAGAAATATCTTTAGTAATAGGACTGATTATAGAAGTAATAAAGATACTAAGAGTTTTAATAGGAATAGTAGTTAGTATAGATGAAGATTTAGATATAGAGATATAAAATATTTTCTTAGAAGATATTTCTATTAATATATAAGATTATATATAATTAAACAGCTGAGCAGGCTCAATGTAATCTTTTGGAGTATACTAGATGTTCAGGCCAGTCAACTAATCAATATACGCTGTACTTGATGCTAACAAATCAGTTTGGACGAGGAACTGAATAATATTCTTATATATAATACTTTTATCAATATCCCAAGACAGTGGGTATAGTCGATTCTTTTGAGATAATAGAGGATTTGTATTAATTACTAGGTAGTAAACTTACTGGAGTGTATTAGTATCCAAATAAAGGCATAGAGAACTCTCTGAGTACTTATAAAACTAAATAATCTGATGTCCTAATTCTGATATGTAGACGCCAGGATTGTTATAAAGTAATTAAAATAACAATACACAGATTTAATAGACAGTTGGATAGAAACTTAAGGATGAGGCAATAATTAGATAGTCTAGAATATAGAAGATAATAGATAAGATATAATAGTAAAAGTAATGATTTGATAAGGACAAAATAGAATATAGGAATATAGGTTAGATAACTATCAAGCAAATCTAGAGTAAGGGTCGAAGATATTAAGTAATCCATAATAATAATAAGAAAAGCAGTAGTAATAGGCAGAATACCGGAACACGGATGCCTCGCGATCAGCAGACAGAGATACTAAGAAGCTGATATAGATGACCCAGTAAATAACAAGACAGGAGATAATATAGAGAATTAAATATAATAATTTAACTAGTATAGACCTTAGTAACGCATTTAACGTTCTGGACGACCGGACATGCTACCATATATTATAGTATTAGACAATGATTCATGAGTGAGTAAGTTAGTTGATTAATGACGGAAGACGTCAGGATCGAGAAAGTCAAAGTTCTGCTGCTAGGGCGGCCAGGAAGGCGGCCAGACGAACAGACGGCAGAACAGCGATATCAGCGATATAAGCGATATCCGCCACAGCCGCGGTTCGGTGTCTCAGCGGTTCGGTGTCTGATTACGTTAAGAATACAAGGCTTGTTAATACATATTATAGTGAATATTATAGAAATAAATAATCTAGAAATAGATATTTAAATAAATAAGAATATAATTAGAAAATCGAAAATATTAAGAATATCATAAAAGACTAATATAGGGATATTTGGTAAGAATAGTAAGAAATAATACATAGATATAAAAATAAATAGTTTATCTATAGGAAAACTCTATACTACTATAAAAGGTGATATATACTACTATATAATATTATTTATTATTTAAGATATCATATTCCAATATAGTAGTAATAAAGTTGTTACTTATTATAAAGGTTAAAGATGGGAGATACTTCAACTGAAAAGATGCTGGAAGGCAGAAACCAACAGTAGAATATCAAACAGGACGAAATCTACCACAAGTTGACGATTTTTCTCTTCCACGGAGGGTTTGACCTGGAAGTCTATTGGTCGCATGTATCCGCCAAAAGGGAGCATGTTTTGCAACATCTTTGTCTGAGGGAGGCACGTGCAGAGAAGGCCCTCGTATGAACTATGTAGATCATTGAATTGTGGTGTAAATGATCCACTAGTTGAATGACATACACAATACACTCTACAAATTCACAGCAAGGGGCTTTGTGATGTGATCGAAATTCTATTAGAAGCGCAGTTATGACAATCTTTGGGAGCGCTAGGAGGACGTATTCATTCTTCTCATGATGGGTAAGCCCACAGCGGCGGATAGAAGGTAAATATTGAACCATTGACCAAAAAAAAACATATACTAACCGAAGACAAAGCAACACTGTATCTAAGGAATGGTATACAAATCAATTTGTTCTGCCAAGCGCGAAGCCTCCTCGGAGTAGTTGATGGGTCTAGCAGATGAGACCTGGTATCGAATTCTGATGAGAAATGTAGAGAGGTTATCAGTATTGAGATGTCATGATTTGCGGCGCAATGCTCAAACTTACCGCTGTTGATCACCAAAGTGATCTATCTTGGCCCTGCATCGAAAATTCCAGGTACGGCAATTGGCATCTTGAAATACTTCACCAGCCGCCCTTTCATCCATTTGTCGCAGGTCCATTATCTGGTCCGCGGAAGTGCCCATCATCACCTTTCCCACTTCGTCAAAGCAGCTTAACCAAAGTTGACCGGTATGGTCGCTAACGTTGACAAGCATTATGTAGCGATATTCAGGTCGCGGGTGCGTCTTGTCGCAACGCTCGCACCGCCATTGACCAGGGTCAAGCTCGGTGACTTTCTTGTTGCAGCCCTCTGAGAGGCAGGCAGGATAGCAGATATTCTCCTGCTTTATATAGATAACGGTGGCTTTGAGTGAGAAGTAGACTGCCTCTTCGGACATACCAAGTTGCTCTTCCCGAATCTGAGCTATGGTTTTGAAGTGATCAGGTCTGGCGGCGGATGTTGCTGTGCCCGACATAGAAGCATGGGATTTGAACCCTTCATCCCTGCCTTGCGCTTCGTACCAGCCTTTGAGCCTGTGGGCCTCTTCGATGTCAGGGTCTACTGTTACTGAACCAGAGCTCAGCAGACTCAAACTCCGGCCTCCGAAATCGGAAACCTTCACTCCTTTAAAAGCCATTACCGATTCAGGTAGAGTGCTAAAATTCAGTGCTGCAGAGCCCCAGATAGTCAATCGAACGGAGTATCCGGTATTGTCGACCAGAGTCAATTCTCGCTTGTTGTAGGGTTTATTGGTGGTCTTCGAGACAATTTGTGATACCTCTCCAGCTTCTTTCAGTACACCGATAACGTCGATGGTAGTGTCCTTCTCCACTGATTGTAGATCGCTGATTGTGGTGAAATTGAACCGCACTTGTGGCACGTCGCTCTGGTCTTCTCCCTGAGACTTTTGTTAGACTTATCCCCGTCCTGAACGCTAGGATTCACCCACCTTTTCAACGACGGTGTCTCTCTCGAAGGTAAGTTCATAGTCGTTGTTAAGATTTGTGAACTGCTTCTTGGCAATCTGAACACGACAATTCGAAATGTAATAGACACTGCCTTCCTGGAAGATATCGTAAAGCATGTCACATTGGTCATTAAAACCCGTTGCGCGAATCTCGCCGCTGTCGTCCAACAGGTTGACACTAAACAGTCTGCCTTCGGTATTTCTGTTATGCCAGGTTTTTATGTTTGATTTGCTAGTACAACGAGCCTTGATTGTCCACTTATGCGAATATGGTGAAATGGCCTCGATTGGGTAAATCGTAGTGTGAGCCGCTGAGGGTAAAGCTGGGCGAGCTGGTTGCGGACGACTGTTGGGCTGCACAGAGGAAGCTTGAGACTTGCAGCCATAAAATCCATTGCTTGAGATAGTTGTTGGCTGCGGCTTTTCCTCATCTTCGGTCTTGTTTTCTAACGGACGCGGTTCTCCAAGCTTCTCACTTTCACCTAGTTCTTGAAGAACATCTAAGTCGAGTATTATGAGAATCCTAGATAGCGGTTAGCTACAACTTGCAAGATGATGTAATTCTAACAACTTTTTCCCCTTCACTGCATTCGCCTGAAAGGATTTCAGCCTAACAAAGCATCCTTTGCGAAGCAAGCCACTCGTAACTTTGTGGTTTAATTCTGCATGGAACAAGAATTAGGGTTGTCAGATGTGCTTGACAGAGCAACCGCTGTGTAGAAAGGTCCACAAAGCTTGGAACTCACGAGTAGCAAGCATAGTTTGAACATAATTAGAGATGTCGCTGAAGACAGCTCTAAAGCGTTCTTGGTTGTTCTGCTGCGGAGGCAACGGCTTGATCTGAACACACTGAAGAATAGGTTCTTGTACTTGGGGCTTTGTGTCGTCGAATATGGCGCTTTATTATACAAGATCAGCATGTGAGTGTGACCTTCAGAAATGGACGCACCTGAGGGCTCCGACTGAAACCTGCGATGCTGAATCGGAAGCCATGATTTGTGACCTGACTTGTCTGTCAGGTAGCCAGTGACCTGATGTGACTGATGTTGGGTGACTCTAGTTGACCAAGTAGGGAGGACTTGAAATGAAGAGAAAAGGAATTAAATAAATAGTGTAGAAGAGTTGGTTGCACTTGGCGAATAGGTGACAGCAGGAGAAAGAGGATAAAACAGTACAGGACGCGTGACGCGATCAGCCTACGGCGTACAGAAGCGCGTGTGGATAATCAGACCCCACTTAGTACTAGGTGACTTTAGGACCTCAGACTCTAAGTTTACAAGTGCCTTCCAGTCTGCGGGTACCCCCCTCAGCCAAAGGCGTTCCAAACGCACTAACCCCTTTGGGCGGCTACATAGGGGTAGGTTTAATCACAGGACCGCTAGATCATTGACTTAGGAAAGAAATACTGGGGTGGTTGTGGGTGTTCTTAGATTCAGTAGGTAAGTTAACGATAGGTTGCTATACAAATTCATGTCAATAGGAAAATAGAACTCTGATTTTTCTACTCTAACATGTAATAGATAGCTGCTGGCTTTCTAAATCTAGAAGTAATATTACTGTTTTCTGCGGTAGCTAATCAGACCCTAAAAACTACCTCTAAAAGTAGCCATTTGTTAACCATCATCCGCAATCAGACTAGGTAGTACTTAGTTAATTTTCTAAATCTAGAAATTATATTAAAATTACTTTATGGTAGCTAATCAAAACCTAGGAACTATATTTGAAGGTAGCTAAGCATCATGCATCACCTGTGATCATGCCCTCATAGAGTTGCAAAGCTTGCTTTGTAAATCATCATTGGTGCCGTAGGTGGAAGTCTGACAGAATGGGGTGCTTACAAAGATATTAGGTTATCTCAGCAGGCCCAATGTATCCACACTTGAACTGCTATTATTATCACAGATAATATTCTTATTCTTTATCATATTATTATTATTATTATTTTAGTATTATTATTATTATTATTATAAGTATATCTAAATACAGAATATAATAGTAGACTAGATAGTATAGACAGTATAATAAGCTACTCATGCCAATTTGCAATAACTCCCACCACTGCTTGGTGCCCTGACCGCCTAATATACCGCTTTCTCGATCTTGCTTGTATACTTAATAGAACCACAAGCACTACCTTCAATTGCTTGCTTTTGTCATGGATAATCGCTGTGACCATATCAGCTTGCTGTCAGTCTACCCATATATTCTTATTATAATAATCATAATATTAATAACTTAAAATCTCTTCTATATTTAATCTAGAATCTTGTAATTTTTTTTAGAGAGTAAGAATTAATCTTAAGAATAGAAGTTACTATTATTTTATATTTGATAAATATATTTATTCCTAATAATTCTAATTTTTCTTCTATAATTATTTATAAAATATAGTATATCTCTATAGTAACTATAATTAAATAATAATTCAAAGTTAAAAGATTTACTTATTCTTAATAATTTATTATTTTTATTATCTTTAGGTTTTTTTAATGGAGAATCTTGGCGACGAATATTGCTGATATCACTACCACAATATTCTGCTGTGGTATATCGCTATATGCGAGAAGTGAAATAGATGAGGAAGTTATCATTGGACATCCTTCCTTCCTCGTATTGTCTTACGATGACCCTTTCCTTCCTTGTCCTTCTGTCTTCCGTCAATCTGTATTTAATCTTGTGTAGCTGGGGGGAGAATGAAACAAATAACTTTATATAATAAAAATATCTTAACATCTCAGTATTCTAAGAACTATGGATCTAATATATTAACTATAAGTAAGTAGTCTATTCTGAATAATCTTAGATTTCTTTAGATTTATTTTTTAGAGTATAGAGATTACTTCTCTAATACCCATCTTTTCTTCTTTTCTTTTACTACTAGATAAGAAAGATAGGATTTCTAACTATCTATCTTATATAGAAATAGCTATAGTATATAGAACTAGACTATTAGATTATAATATTCTATAATATATTAAAAAGGTAATATATTTATTAATTAGATAAAGATACTATATACTATATTCTCTATATCATTAGAATATCTAAATTATCTAGATTAGTAGATACTATTCTCTATTCTTTTAACTAGAATATTAATTATCTAGTTTTAAACAAGACTATTAGAGAATTGAGATATCTTACTAAATTTCTACTATTAGAGTCTATATATATATCTTAGCTCATAGAATAATTAATTCTAGGAATTAATCTAAACTAACTTCTTAGATATATAAGATCAAGATTCTAATCTTAGATATTAGAAGAATTAATCTTCTTTAGATAAAACTTAATTCTCTTCTTCTCTATAGATTCTCTATAGAAGAATATTAATAAGATATCTAAATATCTAACTCTATAGATACTAAGATAGTTAGTTCTAGAAGTATTTATACTATCTATATAAATTTTAAGTACTTCTATTAAGCTCTAGTCTTACTATTTTTATAAAATCTCTATCTTAAGAATATTATATGTAGATTTTAAATCTATATTTCTAGTATCTTCTAAATCTATATTTTTAGTACTTATAGTATTTTTATCTAAAATATTTTTCTCTACTCTAGAACTAATTCCTAAAGTATTTTTTTTATTCTAGAATTAATTCTACTATCTTCTCGCTTATTTAATAAATATATGTTCTCTATATATTCTAATAATAATAGATAATTAGAGAAGCTACTTTTCTCTCTTTATCTTTTATTAGATTCTGTTATATTCTTTTCTTCTACTTCTTTTTTACTTAGTTTATTTATATCTTTTAATCTATCTCTACTGATTAAAAAGTCTATAGAATCTATATAATCTTATTTATAAGATAATTTAAGTATTATAATAATAATAAAAGTTAAGTTCTTTATATAGTCTAATAGATAATAAGTATAATAATATAATTTAATTCTAGCTTACTAAAATTATACTAAAATTAAGAAATATAAATTAGTATTTTTTTAACTTTAATCAAGATTATAACTAATATAATTAAAAAGAATATATAAGAGATAAATATAAAGAATAGTAATATAATTATAGAAGTAGAAATACTAATAATAATAATTAATAATTAGTTTAATATATCTAAGCTTTGACATCTAATAATATTAGTTATTTTTCTCTAGATATAAAAATAGACTAGTATTTTAAATAATAAGAATAAATTATATATTTAAGAATATCAATCTTTTTATTAGTTAATCAAAGATATAATTTATGTATACTAAGAACTAATAATATATATAAGTATTACTAATTATTTTTATAATATAGCTTTGAATTAGTATCTTATACTTAGTAAATATAAGAAAGATATATATTTGTATATATATATTTATAAGATAGAATACTTAAAGATCTATATATTTACTTTAAGTCTAATATGATTTTAGCTTTTATTTATCTATAAGTAATTAGTAACTATAGATAAATAGATATATATTAAAATAAGTTAATCTGAATATATATTTAAAATATTATATATAACTATAAGATCTTCTATATTAATACTATCTATAATTGATTAATATTAATATAAATATATTTTTATTCTAGTCTTACTACTAGTATTAATTCATTTATATAAATTATAATAATAATTAATTTTCTTTACTATCTAAATAGTAAGATATTATTGTAGTAAAAATAATTAAATAATAAATAGAAAGTCTAGTAGAGATATTAATATATATAGACTTAACTATTATATAAATAACTATTAAGAAGAATATTCTTACTAGAATTATATATTAATATATATTAAGATTATTTTAATAATAATTATTAAGAATATAATAATTCTTAGAGATATTAGAGAAACTAATATAATAGAAACTACTATAATAACTATTCTTTTAGAGACTTTTATATATTCTAATATAGTTATAACTAGTATAATAATCTTAACTATAGAAAGTCTTAATTTACTAATATAAATCTAAATATTAACGTAATCCACAAGCGAGCCGGCTTCCGCGCGTGTTATTTTCGTGTTCTTCAACTCAAAGTAATTCAGTCACCAACAACACCACCAAATATACCTCGATCACCTAATTATTTAGTAGAACAAGAAGGCCATATCTGCCTTACAGTTAAGACTATTTAAACTAGTAAAATTCTGCTTATAAATAAAGCTATAAGGATTTTTAATATTCTATATTTAACTCTATAATAATAACTTAATAGAGTTAAATTATACCTTAAAATATATACTAACTTTATAAAATTAACTATTCTTAAAGAAGAAGCCTTAAAAGACTAGATATTTTTATTTATTAAATATAGACTTTATTCTTAATATTATATATTTAGAATATAGCTACTATTCTTCTTTAAAAATATAACTTGGATTCTATAGTCTTAGTAGATAAGAACTAGATAAATAACTTTATTAAATATATATTAACTTTAAAAAGTTATTTCTCTTAAAGATATAATATCTAATATACTATATATAAAGATTCTAAGCTCTTAAATAAGTAGTTTAACCAGTTTAAAGCTATAAAGAAGAAATATAGTATTTTTAATAAAGATATCTAGAATTTTAATAAAACTAGCTTTATAATAAGAATAGTAGCTACAGCCTATATAATTATAAGATCTGATTATATAAATAAGCTATCTCTTATTTAATTAGAGAATTAAGAATAGATAATCTTAATTAAGTATATTAATACTACTAGTATAGTATTAAGACTATACTTAAATTTTAAGAGTAAAGTCTATATTAAGATATAATTCTAAGATCTTATTCTAGCTAACTAGTATATTAACTTATTACTAAATAATTAGACTTTTAATAAGATTAGTTTATATTAGCTTTAAGAATACTTTATTTCTTCTATAAAGAATTAATAAATCAGATAATATAGTCTCTTAATTCTTAATAGATATAACTCTTATCTAACTCTAGAATTTAATAATATATATAGCTAAAATAGTATTATTCTTATCTATATATCTCTATATTCTTTATATCTTTATTAACTACTTAATATTACTTACTTTATACTATTAAAATAAGTATATAATAGCTTAGTAGAATAGCTGATCTACTAGAGTACTTACTATATAGATAAGATTAATTTCTTAAATATATATCTAGAAGTATATTCTCTTATCTTTAAAGAATTAACTATATATAATATCTTTAGAGCTTTAGAATTAGTTCTATTCTAGCTAGACAAGATTCCTAGTAAGCTGATTATATAGTTCTATAAGTCTACTCTAAC